TGCAGCCCCGGAGAGGCGATCCCAAACAGAATCCCAGAGACCTCCAGCATCCCAGAGAGCTCCACTGTCATCCCACAGAGCTCCACTGTCATCCCACAGAGCTCCGGCAGCATCCCAAAGAGCTCCGGCATCCCACAGAGCTCCGGCATCCCCCGCACCACGCGCATCCCATGGACCACGGGCATCCCGCGTTCTCTGGGAATGCCCACGGCGGGATTGGGGGCCGACTCGGACGAGCACAGCGCCGACGGGCCGCGGCTGCTGCTCTACTACATCGTGGGCAGCCTGGTGGCCATCCTGCTCCTGCTGGCGTTCGCCCTGGCGCTCGTGGCTTGCAGGAAAAGGGCGGCCAGGAGGGAGAAGCCTCCGGCCAAAAACGCGGCCGATAATTATTGCTGGGTGCCCGAGCAGCCCGAGAGCCGCGGGGAGCGCAGGTAGGAGAGGGTTAAAAATCCCAGTGGAAGGGTGGGAGGGAATGCTTTGTGCCCAAAGTGAGCTCCTCGGGCTGTTCCAGAGGGATTTGCAGCCCTGCTGCTCCAAGGGTTAACGAGATGGGAGAGGGAATGGGGTGGAATTTGTCTCCTCAGCTCTGCTCCAAAAGGCAAATTCGGAATTGTTGGATCACGTTCCTAAAGGGAAACTGCTCACTTGGAATTCTCCTGCAGCCCCTTGTGCACTGCTCCCTCTGGATTTGCCTCATTCTCCTGGAAAAGAGTTTGAAGCTGGGATGGAAAAGGGTTTGAAATTGGGATGGGAAAGGGTTTGAAGCTGGGAGGGAAAAGGATTTGAAATTGGGATGTGCTTCAGCAGAGCTCGAACAGGCCCCTGCAGGCACAACCAGGGTGGGGTTTAAGGGTTATTTTTGGAGTTTTATTAAAAATCTGTCGCCTGAAACCAGGGAGAACTGCTCATCACGGAGCCAAGGAATGGCATAAAGGTAGGAAAAGCTGTGTTTGGAGTAACCACCTCCTCATTTCCTGAGTATCCTGCCTAAATCCACTTCTAAACAGAGAAAACAATGCTCTCCTTCCCATCAGCCACATGAGAGGCTGGGCTTTTCCTGTTGGATCATTTATTTTGGGAAGGATCCTTCCCGGCTCCAGGCTGAGCATGTTTTCCCTCTCTCCCTGTGTAAGGAACATGCTGAAATTGGAATACTTGCTGATTATTCCTTGTAAAACCTGTAACTCCCGAAAAACTCTCTGGGCCAGGTTGCTCCCCAGGTACTTCCCAAAACTCCTTGAGCCTTTTCCAGCGGGAATTCTGCCCAAAATCCTGAGGGGCACACCCAGCAGCACCTCCTCCATGATTTATCCATGTTGTGAAGGGCTGGAAAAAATCAGCCCCGGGATTTGAAGGGTCCAGCAGGTTCCTGAAGTTTCTGCTGGAGTTATTTTGTCCCTGGAGCTGAATTGCTCCAGGAATGGGAATAGAACACAAAGGAGTTTGTGGTGGGCAGGGAGCTGCATCCTGTCATTCCATGTGCTGAGCAAAACCCTTTCCTGCTTTTTTCTTGTCTTGGGGCTCCATTGTGAGCTGCAAACAGGAAAATGGAGCTGATAGGAATGTTTTCCTTGTGCTGCCTGGGTTGGGAGAAAGGGAGGGAATGCAGCACAGGATTCTTGGAAATCCTGCTGAAAGTTCCCAAATCCCAAGGCAGCAGAGCATTGGAATTATCTGGATCAATGAAGGGAATCCCATGTAATTATGCTGGATTGGGATCTGTGGGAAATTACAGCCTTGGGGTTTTTTATGGGATATAAGGCCATAAAAAAAGGAAGGGTGAGGGTGAAATCCAAGCTGGGAAAAACCTGAAGTGTGTTGTTTATTCCCCAAAAAATCAAAATCTTGATTTCTGTTGCAACCTCTGTGTATTCCATTGGGGAATGATGATGGATCTAGGGGAAGACAGGGATTTGTGTCAAGGTTAGGTTGGATTCTCCCTAATGGAATGTTTCCTGCTGTAGCCTCCTCCCTCCTGGTGCAATTCCACCTGGATCCAGCCTCATGTCTCTCATTTTTCCTGCCACAGCTTGATCTGTGGCCTCCTTAGGGAGTTGTCCAAGGACTGGTGAATCCCACAAGTTGGAGCAGGATAATTTGGTCCCCTGTCTTCCCTAGGAGATGGGATGTTCATCCCGCTCCTTGGAATTTTTTGTCGCAGATGAGTGTTTTGCTTTCTCAGAATGAAACTCTTGGATTTACAGGATAAAGTTATCCTAACATCTGTCTCTGGATGAAATTCCAAGAAGACCTGTATAAAAATGTGTTTGCAGTGGGTTTTAATAAAGATGTTCCTAAAAATCCATGGTCTGGTGCTCCTAATCTATGTGCTCCCCATGGTGGGTGGGTGGTGATCCCAAATCCTTTCCTAGGGCTTATTCCATGATCTCAGCCTTTCCCAGGATCTGTGCTCCTGGCCAGGGGCCATTCCCTTCATCCCTGCTGATGCCATGGGGTGGGAGCATTGGGATGGGCTGTGTTGGATCCCAAAACCACAAGCTAGGTCCTAAAATCCATGAGGAAAGTCCTAAACCCATAAAAAAGGTCCCAAAGCCACAAGAAAACCCTAAATCCATGAACAGGGTCCCAAACCCACAAGCAAGGCCCTAAACCCAGGAGGAAGGGCCCAAGTCCATGAGCAAGATCCTAATCCCATGACCAAGTTCCTAAAACCAAGAGGAAAGCCCAAGAGAAAGGACCTCAACCCACGGGCAAGGTCCTAAGACCATGACCGAGTTCCTAAAACTGTGAGCAAGGCCCCAATCCCATGACCATCTTCTCACTCCCACAGCCAAGGTCCTGATTCCATGGCCAAGGTCCCAATCCCATAACCAAGGTCCTGATTCCATGGCCAAGGTCCCAATCCCACAACCAAGGTCCTGATTCCATGGCCAAGGTCCTAATCCCACAACCAAGGTCCCGATTCCATGGCCAAGGTCCCAATCCCATAACCAAGGTCCTGATTCCATGGCCAAGGTCCCAATCCCACAGCCAAGGTCCTGAGTCCATGGCCAAGGTCCCAGTCCCACAACCAAGGTTCCAATCCCATGACCAAGGCCCTAATTCCATGACCAAAGCCCTAATCCCATGACCAACATCCCAAATCCATGAGCAATCCCTTTGATTTCAGCACCTCTCTGCGTGAGGGATTTTTCGGGATCAACTAATAGGATAGACCCCTTTTAGATCCTGTTATCCCATGATATTTCATATTATTTTACATTCCATTGCTTTCCATTCCTTCGTGGACAACTGCCAGCATTCCAACAGAGCAACCTCATCCCAAAACCCTGCAAAGAAGCCAAAAATTCCCCCCCCTGTTGACACAAACTCCCGGATTCGGGGGTCAGGACAAGCATTCCGAGTGCCCGCTCCGAGCAGAGTGACAGGGACAGCCGGGATGAGTCAGAGCCCAAGGCAAAGGCAGGGAAAACATGATTAATGGGATTGGGGAAGAGGAAAGGCAGCCTGTCAGCAGGCAGGGCAGTGCTGGCACCCTGACTCAGCCTGCAGAGCAGTGGGATAAAAGGGAATTATGAAAGCGTGATTAATCCCATTCCTCCCACCCCATCCCGATTATCTTTTGGGGACAAACGTTGTCAGTCGGGCAAGGCCAGCGAAGTGGGATCATTGTTTGGGAAGGTTCTGTTTTTTCCTGGAAAAAACCTTGACAAGGAATTTTCTATCTGGGTTTGCAGTTACTGAAAAAAAAAATAACAGCGGGAGCAGAAATTTATTGTTTTGGGTTTTTTTTTTCATCTTCACCGTGTTCTGTTTTCCTTCTTTTCCTGCGGTTTGCCAGGATATTTTCTCCCTTCTCTTGGTGGTTTTCTCCAGAAAACAGAAGCAGAAGTAAAAGGAGAAGTGGAAGAAAAATTGGAAATAGTGAAGTGAAAATTGTGGGAACAACAGGTGTTCCTAAAGCCAGATAAGGTCAGAGTTATCCAGCTCCCAGGAGATTTCTGGGAATGATCCTGCTTGGATAAATTCTTTACTCCAAGCTCCCCTATGGACACTTTCTCCTTGAGGCTCATCCCTGCTGCTAGAATTAAATTGCATGGACATTTCAATATTTGGGGTAGATCAGAAAGGTCCAATGGGATTAAAGAGTTAATTTATTATTATTATTATTATTATTATTATTATTATTATTATTATTATTATTATTATTACCAACTTCCCTTTTCCCCACAGACTCACAGGATTTACAGGAAGCACCCAAGGTTGTTAGAGGACAAAACAAAGCCCAAGGGTTCAAGAAAGGACGAACAAAGTTCAATAAAGTTCACTAAAATTTAATAAAGAAACCTCCTTGCCGTGATCCGAGGAAATTGGGATTTGCTGCTCATCCTAAAGGCCAATTGCAGTGCCCGGGGCTGTTGGAATTCCATGAAAAAACAGCCTCAAATCCCCTTTTTGTGGAGTGGGGAAGCTTGGGACATTTGGGCTCCATTTTTAGGTTGCTCTTGGCTCTGTTCTGGCACCACAGAGGGATCCACCAGGGATAAACTGATGGAATGGGATGTCCATTCTGAGGTGTCTGTGGGGAGTAGGGGAGATAGGGAGAAAAGTCATAATAATGCTTAATAATAATAATAATACCAACTAGTAGAACTATATAAATTATATAAAAGTACAGATGGAAATACATAATTATATGTTCGGGTTTTTTTGAAGAAGTTTTCCTTAATCAAACCTAAACCGTTTCTCTTCATCCCATTCATTATTCTCCAGGAGCATATCCCGATTCCACCTGACTCCACCCTCCTATCAGTGATTGCCGAGAGCGAAAAGTTCCCGCTGGAGCCTCCTTTTCCCCAGGCTGAGCCCCTTTCCCAGCTCCCGCCTGCTGCTCCGGCCCCTTCCCGGCTCCATTCCTATGTCTGGACACAGAGATGCTCTGTGCTGGATTCAGAGCCGGACACAGGGTTTGATCTGCGGGATGAAGATCCCAGCGGGGTGACAATTCCCAGCCGGGTGAAGATGACAATTCCCAGCGGCGCTGCTCCCACCCCGAGGGCCCCTCCTGTGCTGCGAGATCCCGCTGCCGTTTCGCGCTTTTCCCGCGGC